TATTATACAAGTGATCCCACTGCTACTACTATTTATTTTGGGGGGCGCCTCGTCTATTCAGCTCTCCTTGCTAGCTACGTGGGGACAGCCTGTCATTCTGTTAATTGGTGCCACACAGACATCAGCCTCCTTCGGGCACACACGCTGCTTGAGGAGCTCTGACTCAGCAGCTTCCCTGGCTTTGACCCTGCGGGCTCCACGGAGCCCAGCGTGAGACTGACATGAGGGTGTGACAGCCATCTCTGCCCATCTGGGGGGCGTGTGGGGTTGTCCTCCGAGGGACAGTGTGGACACAGCTCAGGTGCCTCTTCACTTAGCTGCCTGAAGCCCGAGGCTGTTTGTACCTGTCAGCCTGGACTCACAGGTGAGGCCAAGGAGAGGGGAGACCGCCTGCCTGACTTCTAGCATTTCATGGCAGCTCATGCGTTTAAGCCAAATGGTGTTAGTAGTAAAATCTGGGCTGTATCAACTCTGTTGCTGTGCTGCAAAGGGTCCCCCTTGTGGGCATTAAAAATACCTTGTTCTACGTAACATCATTCTTCAAATCATGAGGAAAATGTCAAAAATAGGTATAGAAGAGGTGTATGAAATGGAAAAATATTTTTATACATTATACCGGGAAACAGAGCCTGACTCAAATTCTTTACCTTATGAACAGAAAATATTGGAATTCTTATGTTATTAAATTTTGTAATGATATTAAAATATGTCACTGAAATTTGCTTTTAAAAAGCTAATGCACTTATTTATATTTACCGTGAGAACAGTTACCTAGTCTCAAGTCATCTTCTTCTATGTGTAAAGTTGTGCCGAATATCAAATTTAAATGACTGTCTTTTCCTACAGCATTTTTACTCTAAAACACAGGGAAATTCGCATGCACGCTCCCCATGGACAGTTCAGTTTGTGTCTGCTTCCATGTTTTGAAAAGGTTCAGAGGTTTGGAGACAGTTCCCACATTTGGTGATGAGTATCAGCTTGCCTACAATCGCACAGACACCACTGAGCCGACCGATCACAATCTGATGTCGGTCTAATTCCTTTCTCAACAGATTAAGTGGTATCCGTGGAAAGTATTTCATGTGTTACTGGGATTTCTGAGCAAAGTGAGAAATAAGATAAACGGGGGTGGCCCATTGTCAGTTCGTGTTCCTTTCTTTCAGCGTTTCAGTTCCGAAGTTTAATGGTCTTTGACTCGCCGCAGTTTTCTCTGAGTTGCCGTAGGGGTGCCTTCCTCATTCGCGGTCCCCTCTGAGAACACCGAAGAGAGGACCCGCTGGGGTCACTGTCAGGAGAGGTAATGTTTTTCCTGAACAACTTCTAGCTTGTGTGCTTTTTCCCTCAATAAAAGATATGCAAATAAATCTTCATAAGTGACAAACGGCGTGAGATAACTCTTGGAATACAGCATATTTCCTAATCATGTAGGCTGCTAGCAATCTTACAGGTAAATGTGGGTTCTACAGACATACAGGATTTTCTGGGACATACGTACTTACTGTGTCCCTGGGATTATTTAAATTTCCTGTTTCTTACAGCAGCCTTTTTTTCTCATTCTAAATCATTTTGTTCTGGTATGCGGTGCATGTATCTTTGTCATCTACCTTAAATCTTATTTCAGCCCTGATTTCTTTTTCTGCTTCTGCAACTCTGATCATACAAATTTTGGATCTTCTGCTATTTTTCCACAGGTTCCTGAAGCCCTGTTCATTTTTCTTTTCAGTGTATTTTCTGTCTTTTGTTTAGATTGGGTAAATTCTATTGATCTGTCCTTAAATTCACTGATTTTTATCCTCTTTCATCTCTTCTCTACTACTGAGCCCATCCAGGGAATTGTTTATTTCCCCTATTATACTTGCCAATTTTATAATTTCAATTTTGTTCCTTTTTTTGGTAACATCTATTTCTTCGCTGATGTTTTCTATATTTTCTTTCACCTCAAGAGAATTCGTAATGCTTATGAAATCATCTTATGATGGTTGCCTTAAAATCCTTGTCAGATAATTCCAAAATCAGATTCAATTCAGTGTTGACATCTGGTCATCTTTTGCGCATTCAAGCTGTGCTTTTCCTTGTCCTTGGTACGATGAGTGATTTTCAGGTGTATCCTGGATATTATGTTAGGCGACTCTGAATCTTGTTTGAATTTTTGAAATTTTAGCAGGCGGCCAGTCCCCTGTTTAGTTTTGGCCCGCAGGTCCCGCCTACCTCGTGGCTGTAGGACCAATAATTGGCTAAATTTCAGCCACCGCAGTGTCAGCTCCGTCTGCGTGCGGCCAGGGCTCCCGTCTCTGCTGATGACGTCAATGACACAGTTCCCTTTTTACAAGCTATACATACTTATAGTTCTATCATTTGTTGGGTTAAAATTAAATCTCCATCATGATGAAAAGTGTGATTGTGCATAATACATTTAGTAACAGAGCTCTATTCAAAGAAACATTAGTATTGTTAAATATTACTACAAGTTATTCCCAGTTTTTTAATTATAATTAAGGATGCATGTATTATCCTTCACTATATGTGTCCCTTCCACATTGAAATGGTTGTGGTTGCATATGTAATGTAATTTTCTAACTTTTTGCAATTGAAGAGTGAAATATACCAGAGTAGAAATTAGTAGAGAGCCCCAAGAGGGGATACTCAGTGAGACAGGAGAAAAGAGCACTTGGCACCGTGGAAAGTGGGAAACAGCGAAAACACAGGCATGGGGAGCCGCTGGTGAGGGGAACTGAGCCCCCCGGGGGGGACTGGCTTTTATCCGGGGGTTCTTCTGGGACTCCCACCAAGAACAGCCAGTTATCACAGCCAGTGCTTACCCTTGAAGTATTCTGTTCTAGCCAAACAAGCTAAATTGAGAACAGTTGACTAATGTTTTTAATGTTAATATCTCATTTCTGTTTATCAAAACAAGGTAGCGATAATAGCTATACCAAGTTTCCCAACTGTCTCTTAAACCAAGTCCAATTTTCAGGTCCAACTTGGACCCACCAGCCCCAGTCAGCATTTACTCCATCTAAACGCAAAGCCAGCACCGGTCTCCGGGCTGCTTCCCTGTTGCTCCGAGGCTGGGACTTCATTCTGCTGCACCCATCTGCTCTCTGCATGGAAAGAACTGAGGGGTACAGCAGGGGATCCTGTGAAGTCCTGGCTTCAAACTGCAGGCAGAAATAGTGGGGTTCTTAATAACAAACACCCCGATGAGAGCCACCTGGCCAAGTGATACCACAGGAGCTGTCATTCTCTGGTTCATCTGCTTCGAGCATGTTGCTAAAAATGAAGTGTTCATTTTCCTTAAAAATTAAATCCTGTCACCTTACCTAAATCCAACTGAAATGGCCATATAGGGCCAAACATATGACATTGAAAGTGTCATGTATTCACGAAGCAATGAGACATATGGGTCAGTTGGTATTGCCTGCCTACCGAGGAATTTTCCAAAGAGTTTGTTCATATGCAGACTTTATGTTTTAGGCTTTTACTGTTCCTAGAGATGCTTTTTTCTCTTACTTACAATTTCAATTTTAAGAGTTCAAATCCTAAGTAACTTGGACAGGTATAAGATACACATATAAAACTACAACTCTAAAAGGTAAAACTTTGCTTCAACCCTTATTTACTTAAAATATGTGTTTTAAATAATTCATCTAATTCACTTTCCTTTACCTTTACGATGAATATTAACTTATATACACAGGACCGTTGCCCGTGTATATGAGTGCATTTCTGCTTGTACTGCGTGTGGTTTTGTGATGTCAGCCAGGGCAGTCAGGAGAGGGCTGCCGCATCCTCATACACAGGCTCGCCTGAGGTCATGTTTGTGTGTGGGCCAACCACCTAAGAGATGCTGCAGCTGGCAGGGAAATTCAATGGTCATGATTCGGGAGACCGAATACCAAGCAAACACAGAGATGGTATGTCTGTGACATGCACAGTGGAGAGGACACCTGGCGTCAAGGGCGTTTGTGACTTTACAGGTTAGGGAAAAAGTTCTCAGATGAATGACCAACAGACAGATATCAGCTCTCCAGTTCGAGTACTTTGGCTAACATGTATTAGAAAAATTAGTTTTCAAAGCAAAATAATAATGCTTTATAGATTCTTCATTAGGAAATCGATAAGTTCTCAGTAATCTGCATTGCCACATTTACAGGCTGTCCTTGCAGCTTAGAGCTGCTGAACAGCACATTTCCAACTCACGATTCCATTCTCTTGTGGGCGGTGTGGGCCACCATGTAAAGGAGCTATGAGGGAAGTCACATTTTCTGATCATAGTCAGGTGTTTGTTGGAGCAAGAAACTGAAAACAATGTTCAGAGAAGGTGCTTACCAGCAAACTGTGCTGCAAAACCCTCGTATGACCTGCTCAGCTGTGTTCTCTGCTTGTGAGGATGGTCATCCACCACCCCAGGTCTTTACACAGCTGCCCAAGACCCCTACAGGTCTCTGTAAGCATGCTACTCCTCAGGAAGAACACGCATGCCCTTCCTCTGACAGTCTGCAACAATAGCCCTTCTACCAAAGTCTGCTTCAGCGGTGGTTGGCCGAGAGAGTCTGACTTGTGACATGACTTGTAGACATAACTTGTGATGGTTCTTGGCATTGCCCCTTGATTCCAATTCTCCCATAATGGAATTGACAAGAATTTAACAAGATTGTTAAAGACTGTCACCTGTGTTTGCACCTCTCCAAAGTTACTTTGAGATTTATCTGTCCAGCGTTAGGGTAGGGTGGCAGGCTTCCAAAAAGAAATGCATTTCTGCTTTCCCTTAGGTATTTAAGTCAAGTGTTTAGAACTGGTGTGTATTCTTCATACTTAAGTTTTAGGATTTATGGAGAGGTAGGTAATGAATGATGTCTGTCTTCTGTCAATGTAAAGAATGCTTATGGTCTTGGAAGGCAAAATTAATTTCTTAATGGAAGAGAGTTAATACTTTTGTTAATAAAGGTTAAATGTCTTGCTTATTAAAAAAAAAACAGGGTGAAATGCTGGATTGGAATTTATTCATCCTCTTCCACATACGCGGATGGAAACCAGCCAACCCTGCCATTTACTTCCCCTCTCCACCAGCCATTGGAGCTCATCTTCGTATAAATCTTCACCACATCTCCTTTCAACAAGGACAATTCCCGCATGTCTCTTGTGCAGGAGTCATACCGCGCAACGGCAATGCCCAGAGCTCTCGGGCTTAGCAAGCTGTGGCCTGCCCTATTACCCCTCTGCCCTGCTGAGTGTTCCGGCCCCTTGGGCGGGAACTGTAGAATTGTATCCAGGGTTCTAAAGCCTTCTTTAAGAGAAGGGTGCTTGCAGCACTCCACGAGTTCCATTAAACTTTTAAACTTTCTATTTTCTGCAATGTGAAAAAAGCCATCTCTTGTTAAAATCTTGATGTGCTTTGCTTCCCTATTATACTTAATGCTAATTGCATATTCTCCTGACTCTTTGGTCCCGTGCCTCACAAGGTAAGAACTATTCACCCTATTAATAAGTTTAGCCTCTACCTGCAATCTTTCCATTGTGACACTAACTCCAGAGACACTAACTCCAGAGACACATCAGTGGCACCCCTGCTGCCCCCAGGCACACGTTTGCCTGGACGTTGCCTAAGCCCTGAGCAGTCCTGGTCCCAGTCCCAGGGGAAGAGTCCGAGACCATTAGCCAAGTCTCTCACTGAAAAGCTGGATCCCTTTTTCCCAGAAGACTCTGTTCTGTCTGCATGACCTTTCACCCCTCTCACCCTGACCATCACCCAGGGGTGGCCTACATGAGACCAGTCTTTCCTGGCAACAGCTTTGCTTCATGCCCTAGAGCCTTAGTGAGGTGTGTGGACCAGGAACAGGTGAAGGAGATAGAGTCAGATATTTTGGGGGTTGATTTTTCAAACGTCTACTCCACACGTAAATGGTACTAGCAGCCTCATCAGAGAATGACTAGGGTGTGTGGGATGCCCATTATGGGGTGGCCCTTATGAGAAAAGCACATGTACTGTCGCCAGGTTGCAGATGTGTGCACGTGGGTCAGCATGGTGCTGAGGGTCAACAGCTTGGAAATCCAGTTTCCACAGCAAGCAGTCAGCCAGCCCACACTGTGCGCCAGTCTGGAGACATACCTCATCCTTCACAGCTGCGTGCCACAAAACTGGTCTTGAGTATGTGCCCAGGTGAAGGCTGGTTAGGGTCTGCCTTCTCGGGACACCCAGCAGGAACGTGCACCCAGGGCAGGAAGACCATCCAGCACCCACCTGACTGTCGCTCATCCCTCAGCGCCTCTGCACGTCTGCCCACCTTTGGCCCCCTTTTTCTCCATGACTACCTCCCTCTCCTTATGCCCTGGATCCTACAACTTCTCAGGGCTGCAGGGGCTTGCCCTTAGCACTACTCCTTCTAAACCCTGCGCCATTGATTTCCACTCTATTTAAATCATTCTCATCAAACTGGCTGTTTCCCATTTGAGAAAAAAGTGGCCTTTAGAATGCCCGTGTGCTGCGGGTACCACGTCTTCTCCAGGGCAGCCTCCTCCGGAGAGAAGTGGACGCGCCCTCCCTTCCCGTTAACTCTCTCCAAACACTGCTCGCACTGCTTCTGGGAACACCCTCTGCGGACAACCTCCGCCTGCCAGGTCAGAGCTCAGTTTGCAGCCACCTAACAGCGCCTCACGTCATCTGCTGTCTCCCAGCTCCTTACACAGCTTTGCCCCTTCTTCCTCCCACTCATTGTTACTCCACTGCTCGCGTATCTTGTTTTCTAATGTCTAACTGCCCCTAGGACACAGTCCTTGGGCATCGTCCTGGTTATGTCTACACTCGCTGTTCAGGAAATTGCATGTACTGTCCTGACTTTAAATTTTATATATGCAATTATGTTTATGACATCAGAATTTTTATCTACAGTCCAGACTCTCTCCTAAGCTTCCCTTATCTTTCCCGCCTGGATTGCTAAAATGGTGTTTCCTGTTTCCTTCCTTCATGGATTCCAAAGCGGAGCCCCAGGAAAGCCGACCAGCCACGGAACCGGAGCCACGGACGGCAGTGACACAGCGCCTCTCCTGCGATGCGCCCCCAGCGTGGCCGGGCCTCGCCGCCTCCACCACCTCTCTCGGGCCACGCGGTGGCCGCGTCTCGCCTCTGCTCGTGACGGCTCAGCTCGGGGGCTTTTGCCCCTGTGCCCCGATCAGCTCTCCGCACAGCTGCCGAGTGACATCCGATGCTCGTCAGACCCTCTGAGGCTTCCAGCCAAACGTCAGCGGCTCCTCCACGCTCTGAGTGGGGCCCGCACGCCGTGACACGTCGGCAAACCCCTGTGCGGTCCGGCCTCGGCCTCCCTCTCCAAACTCACTTCCCGCCGTGGGGCTTTACATTTACTTTTCCTTTTTCTTGGAAGATTCCAGATGTTTGTATGGTACCTTCTTTACCTATTTTAGATATTCATTCAAATGCCACTTTTCTAGAAAGGTCATTCAGGACCTCCCTAAATAAGATGCCCCTCCCTCTGCATCCCAACACATACACACATTCTATTTCTTTATCCTAATTAAAGTTTGCATATTTATTACTACCTGATCTTACATGTGTGTGCACACATGCTCACACACACATGCGTGCGCACACACACATACTTCTGTGTGTTGGTCAGCCCCCTCCTCCCAGCCCTGACTACAGCTGTCCACCATGAAAGAGACGTTGCGTATCTGGCTGGGAGAAGAACTCCAGGACCTGGCACAGGCCTAGCCCGTAAAAGGAGGTCCAGCAAATATTCATTAAATATAAGGATGCAGAGCTCACCCACCTGAAGCTTCTGTCACATCTCAGGACTCTCGGTGGCCAAATATTGATCATCAGTCCACATGTCAGGCAACGTTTTGCTCTCAGCAGCTAAAAAAATTAATGAACTTTAGGAAGACTCTTTCCTTCTCCTAAGCCAAATACAAATTAGTTGAGGTTCAGAATTCTTGTCCCAATTATGGTCCATGTCAATTTTGATAAATTAAGTTTACCATGGCAGTTGACAAAGCATAATCTGCAAAGTGTGTTCTCTTTATTTCTGATTGATCTTCAGTTTTCAGAAGCATCTAACATCTTATCTTTATGTTTCTAGGCTCCAACCTCCTTCAAGAATTTAAAGATTTACAAAGCAAAGTCAAATGCTTATAAGAGCTTGCATTTTTGTGAGAAATCCTTTAACATTTGATTAAAACCTTTTTTCTAATTTCATGATATCTCCTTTCAGTGGCTCACACTGATTGCTGGAGTTCTTACTGGGAAGGCCGTCACCACCACTTGTCACGACGCTGAGCTCGGCTGGGCTTCACCAGGCCGGATCTCTGTGTCAAGCAAGCCCTTTCACTTCACTGTTGGTGACAAAGGGACCCCATCAGCTGGACGGTCCGGCAGTAGCATCCCTGGTGAGGCAGGGCCACAAGGTTTTGTTGGCCCACGAGAATGCTATTGGCTCCATGTCGGCCTCTCTGGTTTTCCTCCCAGAGTGTGTGGAAAGAAGTCCAGGGGAGCAGGGCACGGCCTGGGTGGGGAGGCCCTTTTTGGCACATGTGTGACTTTTCATTCTTTCCAAGCTTCACACATGATGCAGATGCTAAACAATTGTTTAAGATTCAAAAAATCCGGCCAAGCAAAATCACCAGCTCTCCACAAAGAAGTTGGTTCTCATTTAAGTTGGATTTACAATTTAGACCACGATCTGTTTACTGTTTGAGTTTTTTAGGCACATGCATAGCTACTCCATAGACGAGGCTGGCTCACTCCCATCTCTGCACCTGTTCCTTGTTTGCTCTTGTTCATGTCTCTTTCCTTCTCTCATTTATAATGTCTTAATACACTCACTAACATTTTATATGAAGGATCCCTAATCCAAAACTCTGTCAATCCTTCTTGACAAAGGAGAAATGGGACTCACTGAGGATGCCTCTGAGATGCAGCAGCAGCAATTTCCAGCTTGTTTTCAATTTCTCTCATGGGAGTCTGAATCTGACAAGGAAGGTCTGAACAAAGCCTTTTGTGAGGGTGACATATGACACTCAACGTTGTGTATGTTTATTACCTTCCTCAGTGGGTCTTCTTCGAAGCCACCCCTTCAACACTGCACCTTTACTGTCTACTGAGAGAACACGGTCGCCCACATATGATGAAGCCTCTTTCCTGTTTTTGTTTCCTGGAGACACGTTACTGAAGTGTAACATGCAAGCAGAAGCGGGCACGTCATTCATGGATAGCTCAAGAAACCCTCTAAAGGGAGCACTCTCATGCGTCAAGGACCCAGGCCATAAGGATTAAGTGCAGGCTACTTTCTTCTGAAAGAGGCAGCTAGAACCAGTGTAGATGGTAACAGAGGCAAAATTCAGTTCAGTAAAAGGAACACCTTCCAAATGAGTAAAGTTATCTACTGGTGGGACAAGCATCTTTGGGAAGAAGCAAGGGTTTCTGCAGGGTTGGAATTGTTCATGGATAGGGAAGATGAAATCCTGCATTGCGCAGGAGGTTGGACACAACTCGACTCTTTCCAACTCTAAGAACCTAAACACAAGCTGAAGATCAATGTTCTAGCAGTAGCATTGAGGCAATTATAAATGTGCATAAATGCAATTCTGTTTTCTAGTCATCAGTGAAGATACTTAGAAGATGCTTAAGAATGATTTTTCAAGTTCATTCAGTAAGTACATTAAATGAATAGTGGGATAGTTGTTTTGTTCTTCACATTCATAGAATATTTTCAGAATCCTATCAGTGAAGTCTGGGGTAGAAGGTTAGAATAGTCTTCATAAGATGGAAGATTTATATCTAATCCTGTTCTTTGGGTGAATTTTGGCAAACAGTGAATTTTTTATGTCTCTCCTTATTAAAGCTAACATAGTTTAACACAAAAATGTTTCCTGGATGATGACTATGAAACATTTTTGTAACTGTGCATCCCAAATTCAGTAATACAATTAAGATATTGATTTTGTACACTTCTTCATGAGGAGGACATGTGTCTTTAATATTCTTTCATATGTGACCATTTCATTTTGTGACTTAAATGTTTTATATGCTATTTTGCATGAGTGATTTAATAAATTGAAAAAAAAGGCAAATAAAGATAAAAACTGTCTTATTTCTACTTAACACCTGGGTTCTACAGAGCCCAGGGTGATTAAATTGAAGGCAGTATTCCTTCTGAGTCACCTATTAAACAAATATTCTGTAATATCATCAAAAGTTTTGGCAAAGAGGAATAATTTTTTTTTGGATGGGAGGTTAAACAAAGGCCAGGGCCCCGGATTTATCTATTTCTTTGAGTGAGTTTTAATACCATTGACCTGGCCTAGCTCCAATACCATTCATTATCTCTTGCCTGTCTCAATTGCACTTGAAACTTTAATAAGGCCCTATATTTCTTGTCTTAACCCACTTTCAAAATATTGCTGGAGCTGCCTTCCAGCTGTGGTCTTTCACGTAGGTAGCTAATTTATCTAGCAGTTCAGGGCACCGTTGTATCTTATTCCCCTACAGAAGCAGGAAGAACTC